AGAGAGAGAGAGAGAGAGAGAGAGAGAGAGAGAGGAAGTGGGAAGCGATAAAATGATTGAGTTAGAAAAAAAGAAAGGAAAAGATAGAAACAGTAGATTATAATATATTTATGGTTTAATTTCTATTTTTAATCCTAGTTTGCGTTGCTTTTTTACTTTTGCGGCTTACTTTTAATATATTTTTTTAAATATTCTCTTCTTCGCGTATTTTTTATCTTTGTTTTTTATTATATATATATAAATGTTGTATTTTGTCTTCAATTGAAATCTTTTCTTTTATTTTTGTTTAATTTATATGCGAACGTATTAAACGAAATCATAATGTCGCACGTTGGATAATAAAATGATACAAAGTTATCGATTAATAATAATAATAATATCAATGTCTTCGATATATAGACGATAATTACTCGCGTTTATTCGAACGTTTATTAATTTTAAATAAGTAAAATTATCTCTCTCTCTCTCTCTCTTTCTTTCTTTCTTTTGAAACAACTCGATTAAAATATTTGTATATTTATTGGCAAAAATATTCCTTCTTGACATGTTTCACTTCAAACACTAGCCAAAGAATATTTCTTATCCCTCCTATAACACCAATCAACCAGAGAAAAATAACGAAAGAGAGAGAGAGAGAGAGAGAGAGAGAGAAGGGGGAGTGGGAGAGGGAAGGAGAGAAGGAAGATAAAGCTAAGCGATAAAAGCATGAAGCATAAATCAATGTTCTAATAAGAAATTAATATAGAGAATGTAATATTCAATAACGTGACTTGTTAGTTAAAGAAAAATCATTTTTATATACGTATATGTATGTGTGTGTTGTGTCTGTGTGTACGTATAGAATTTATGTAATATTTCGAAACACATTCTGAGAATTATGACACATTCAGAATGCAATCATACTGATTTACGTACGGTAATATAGAATCTTGATGAGGTAAATAACAAAGGATAGTAACAATGGAAAAATTAGAAAGAGAAATAACACGAATACGAAAGAATGATTAAATGGGAGAGAGAAAGGATTGTAATATAATAATAAGAGTTACGATAATATCTCTTGTTTTTCTTTTTCTCATTTGAGAATAGGGATAATAGAAATTATAATAAGAATATGATTAATAATTAATAATAATGATAATTAATCATAGGGGTGGGACTTGCTCAAGGATACGCGAAAAACGAAATTGAATTTATAATTTCTATTGATAAATAAAATCTTGAACGTGTTTAATAATATTCATTCACAATTTTGTATAAATAATTAATTTGCATTTGATATATTATAATAAGTTGACACAATTATTGATGTTATATTTGTTTTTTATCGTATATATATATCAAATTTGTATTAAAATAACAATTTATACAAAATATTTGATATTATTTAAGAACGATTTGTTATGTGAAAATTGTGAAATATTTTATTATTGCAATAGAGATAATAATCATCATCCTCATTATCGAATAGATATAATCTAACATTGGGTTTAAATCGAACACAATAAAATTTGGAAATATTTTCTCATCCGTTTACTAACTGTGTTCCGAGAAAATTTTTTTTTTAAAGGATCCACCTTTGATCCTTTTCAATACCTAATCCTTTTTACAAACGTTATAGGTGGCCCACATTAATGGAGAGATACATAACCCTTTTAAATTTCGGTATTTTTAAGTCTCGTAATCCTTGAGCTTATCCTAATAATTATCTTGTAATAATACTATATATATAATATATATTATATAGTATATTATTATATAT